CAGCATCTTCAAAACGTTTTTGACGCCCCGCTCCCCATCATAAAATAAACCCCATACTACTGGTCTGCCAATAAATACCATTCTAGCTCCTAGAGCTAAAGCTTTATATACATCTGTGCCATCTCTGATTCCACCGTCCATGTATACTTCAGTTATATGCCCAACTGCTTTTACTACCTCTGGTAATGCTTCTATCTAAAAATATTTTATGTTAAAACTTAAATATGTATTTTTTCTAATTTCATAACATACTGTTGAGGGAACAGAATCTAGTTGTCTAGCACCGTGGTTAGACACAAAAATGGCCGAAGCTCCAGCATCTACTGCTGCGATAGCATCCTCTGCTGTTAGTATCCCTTTTATCACAACTGGTAATTTGGTAACGGTTTTTAACCATGTAATATAGCTCCAGTCGGCTTCTAGATCGCCAAGATCAACATAGTTGGATATGATTTTGTTATCATGATATTTTTTAAGAAGTATGGACCTGAAACGGTAAATCAAAGAGATTATAAAGTATTATTGCTATCCATTTCAAATATACATCACTAATTTAGCTAAAATACGTTAATTTAGTAAACAATGTAGAGAATAAAAAACTTATCGATATTCAACAAGTCGAAACAGTTGTCATAAATATCTTAACACAAACTAAATTATTATTTTATATTTTATATATATATGTTATATATATATTTTTATTTTTATTACTTTTCGATTTTTTTCACACACTTTTAACCTCAATCCAGGCAAAAATAATAAAAAGAAGAAAGTTATTAAGCGGGCATAAATTTAGCAACTTCAGGGTTAAAAATGGTATGAATATAAGAATAATTTTATTTGGTTTGAATGCGCTGGACTAAAAGCATAGACTTTTTTTAGCAGTTAGAAGATAAACTGCTTCTTCTTCTTAGAGTGCCGTCTCCCTACAGAGGTTGGCAATTATAATGGCTATTTTTATTTTAGAACTTGCTGCTCTAAACAAATCAATCGATCTGCATTGGTACCAATCACGTAGATTCTTTAACCATGAGTTCTGCCTTCAGCCAACAGATCTTCTTCCTTGAATCTTTCCCTGTATTATCAGTCTCAAAATTTCATATTTTGGTCCCCTCATCACGTGGCCTAGGTATTCCAGTTTTCTGGTTTGTATAGTGGTGATTAGTTCTGTTTCTTTACCAACCCTCTCCAGTACTTCTTTATTTGTAATTCTATCAGTCCATGATATTTTCAATAATCTGCGGTATAACCAGAGTTCGAAGGCCTCGATTCTTTTTAAATTACATTTTTTTAATGTCCAAGTCTCAGCTCCATATAATAATATTGAAATTATATAACAGCGAATGGTACGTAGTCTGATCTCCAAATTTAGATTTTTGCACGTTAGGAGTGGCTTCATTCGTATAAATGCTGATCTGGCAATCTCTATTCGTCTGTTTATTTCTACAGTATGATCATTGGTTTCATTGATCAAAGTTCCCAAATACTGATATTTTTCTACTTGTTCTATCACGTTACCATTTATTGTCAATAGGTGATGTATATTTTGTGGCCTTTTTGTAATCAGCATGTACTTCGTTTTTTTAGCGTTTATAGTAATTCCCATCTCAGCACTATTTATACTCAAGCTTTCGATAAGATGTTGTAGATCCTCTATACTCGTTGCTATGATCACAGTGTCGTCTGCATATCTTAAATTATTAATTAATTTTCCGTTAACGGTGACTCCCGCTTCGATATTATTGAGCGTGTTTTGGAAAATTTCTTCAGAATATAAGTTAAACAAAAGTGGTGATAACACACATCCCTGTCTAACTCCTCTACAGATCCTCATTTCTTCTGAGTGTTGCCCATCAATTTGAACTATGGCACTTTGGTTCCAATATAATGTTTGCACTATATTTATGATTTTACTGTCAATGCGCTTGTTCATAAGTATTGATATTAGTTTTTCATGTCTTACTTTATCGAAAGCTTTTTCGTAGTCAACGAAGCACAAGTGTAGATCAACATTTACATCCCGACATCGCTGAATTAATATGTTGATGGCAAATAGTCCTTCTCGAGTACCCACTCCATTTCGGAACCCGAACTGCGTCTCGCTAATGTCCCCCTCTAGCCTTTCGTATATTCTCTTATGTATTATTTTTAGCAGAACTTTTAAAGTATGACTCATGAGGCTCAGTGTTCGATAATCAGAGCACTCTTTTGCTGCTTGTTTTTTAGGGATGGTTATAAATGCTGACTTTAGCCACTCCTGTGGTATTATTCCCGTATCGTACACCGTGTTGAATAAATCTGCCAATACTTCTAAGTTGTCCTCTTCCACTAGTTTTAACAGTTCTACTGGTATTTCATCTAATCCAGCTGCCTTATTGTCTTTAGAGTTTTTGATAGCATATTTGATTTCATCTATCGTGATCTTCTGTATCTCTAAAGGATTTAATTCTTGTATTTTGTGCATTTCACCTCTTTCATCTTGGAAAAGTTCTCTAACGTACTCCTCCCATCGCCTTAACTTCTCTGGTAAATCTACTAGTAGTACTCATTTTTTGCCTTTTATGTGTCCTTGCTGTCTATTTCGACCCATTCCAGTCACTTCTCTAATTTCAGATAAACTGCTGGTCCTACGCTATCTGTTGATTTGGAAACATTTGTATGTATTTGGGAGAAATGTATATAAAATGCGTAAGGCTTTCACGGCCTTCGTCTAACTTGTTAAACTGTTTGTTCGGGCTGTTAATTTGTTGTCTTCTGAGATTAGTTCTCGACGTTTCACCAACACTAGGGGTAGGCATCTTCTGGAGATGTTACTGCTTCGCTTGTAAGCTGAAACTGACGCCGCATTGTACTACAGAGGCCATATTTTTATTTTCTACTCGCCTACCCTCCACTGGTTTCGACGTGAGGGGGCGTGTCGTCGTTTGAGGCTTTTTTTTTTCGTGTTTTGCGGGAAGGGTGTTTGTGGATTTTAATATTGGTATCCATGGTTTGTTAATTTTTAGTCCTTTTTCTATCCGATTAAAATTATTTGCTTATGTATTTCCACCGCTTCCCGATATAACCGTGGGTAGTACTGTGCTGTTTTATCCAGCATCTGCGTTTCTTCAAACAGTATCCGATGTTCTATGCTTCCCAAAGCGTTTTCGGAAACGGCAGATTTGTCGATATGTCTTAAACGACAATGGCTTTTGTGTTTGTTTATCCTTGTGTTATGGTATTCGGTATACTCCGGCCGTTGCTAATGGGTCGCGTTTGTCCTTCACCGATCTTAAACAGTTCTATATTTTCTTTGTAGGCTTGAAAATGGTCTTTACATTTTAGGTATTCGCCCAATTCTGTCTGTTACCCACGATAGGCAAAAACGCTTTGCCTATACATGTTGTTTCCCCGTCCTTTCTTCTAGATACGTTATTGATCGCTTTATGTATTTCTCTTCTGGTATAACTATTAGAGGTGAGCGCTTTTTCAATATGAAGAAGTCACTTGCAGATGCTGTGGTTCTTCCCCCTTTTCGACAGAGTTTTGATGATACCTTGTTTTTTGGCCTGGATGATGATTTGAGTTCCTATTTAGAATATCTATTTATCTGTCCATATATGTAGGTTTTCGATACACTTAATGTCCTAAGTAACCTTGCTTTCGATTTACAAATACATCTAGGAACGCTAGTTGTTGATCTTTCTTTCCATCACACATTGAATATTTGGATGTAGTGTGTTTATATAAGACAGAAAATCGTTAAGTTTATCTACTCTGTGACCCCAAATCACAAAAGTGTCATCGACGTATTTAAACCATACACTTGGCTTGTATGCTGACTCCATTACCCTCTTCTCTAGATGCTCCACGAAAAGGTTGGCTACGACCGGACTCAGTGGGCTTTCCATTGCTACTCCATCTACCTGTTCATAAATCTCGTCTTCCCATGAACAGTAGGTGGTAGTGAGGCAAATAGGGTATAATTCTATCATATCCTTGGAAACTAGTCCCTCAATTAAATTCAAAACGTCTTTTAAGGGAACTCTTGTAAATAGGGAAACAACATCAAAAATAACAAGAATGTCAGGTTCCCTTAAAGTTATTCCTTTGATCTTCTCGATGAAATGGGCTTTTACATAAAAGTCTTTTACAAAGGTATCATTTTTTTCTATGTGTAGTTGTAAAATATCGGCCAGATATTTAGCAAGGTTGTAAGACGGAGACTCTATGGAGCTCACAATAGGGTGGTACAACGTCTTTGTGTATTTTCGGTAAGCCATTCAAGCGTGGTGGGACTGCTTCGCTGTTGCATATTCTTGGCTTGTATAATCTGGTATGGACGAAGATTTTATAAAGCTATTAATTTTCCGTAGGTTGACTGCTGTGGGCTATTTTTAAGTCGTTTATATACCGCAGGATCTAGAAGATGTTGTATTTTCATTTGTAGTCTGTTGTCTTCATTACGACAGTAGCGTTACCCTTGTGTGCTGGTAAAATTACAACATCTTTATCTGCGTTTAACGACTTTATAGCACGGATTTCTTGGTGACTCAGTTATTTTTCGGTGTCTTAGCTTTATGCAAAATTCTCGCTGATTATGTCCTTATTTCTTCAACTTTTTCGATTGGTGCAAAACAGTTGCGAATCGCAAACCGGATATTAGCGATGATATCTTCTTTGGGTATAACTTTAGGTGCAATCGCAAAGTTTCCCCCTTTGGCTAGCAATGATGTTTCTGCTGGAGTTAAAACCTTATCTGAAAGGTTGACCACTATCCTTTCTGTATTTGGTTGTGATTTTACCTCCTTATATTTGGTTAAGCGTTCGTTTTGTTTTTCTGGCGATCAGTGTTCCTTCTTAGTTCATTTTCCATTTTTCTGTAACAAATGGATTCCAATTCCAATCTGCATATTTCAATCTGGTGCTTAAAACGTAAAACAAATCTAGAAGCTCCTTGTCAATCTTTGCCAAATTTCTTTGTCTAATGTGGTGTATTCGTTCTCGTAATAGTGCTTTTTTCATGCATGTATATATTCTATTGGCTTGACTTGTTCTGATGGATATCGTGATAGAAAAGCTAACGACGTAAGAAGTTGAGCTTTCTTCTTCCATAGACAATCTAGTCTTCTGTAGTATATAGTTAAAAATTAAGATTATACAAAATCTCTACCAAGCATGTAATCATTAGTTAAAAACACTACTTGTCAAATTTTAAAAAAGCTGAAAAAATTAACTATAATTTTATATTATTGAAATGTTTTTATATATATAAACATTGACAACTTCTTGCCTAGCCTGCACAATATATTATAACAATCAAATAATTCGACACATTATAAGATTCACAAATTAATAGATGATATATTTTCACTTACTTTGAATAAGGTGGCATTATAAATTCTGTCCTTATGAGATGTCGACGTATACCAAAAAGTGTAAAATCAACGGTTAGAACCAATGCTTCGAATCCGTTTTCCTCTGCTAATTTTACCAAGTCTTTAGTCATTTCCCTAAAATAGTTATATAAATATCATTTAGTTTTAGTGTATTATTATATGACATTCTCTATTCTATTATTTCACTAAATAACGGTTCTGTGGAGCCTTTGCGGTAAAACAATGGGTCTGAAACTTAAATATTGCTGGTATACAGTTTTCAAATCTGTACTTACTTATACTGAATTAGTTTGGTGAAATAAAAACAACGCAGTAATACAAATTAGGGTGTAGCAAAAGTACGCACACTCACTTGCATATGAATTACGGGTGCGATTATTTCACGTCCTACTGCAGGCGCAAAGGTTATACAAGCCAGCAAGCAATTAGATTAAACCTAGCCTGTGATACTTGTTTACCCCTAGCAGCACGCAGCAACGAGCAGCAACTATACCGTACTGAGGAGATCTAAAGAGATCGAAATACGTATATGCGGCTTGTTGCTGCTCTGTATCAAATCAAAATATAATACCGTCATTTTGTTTTGTTTATTTACTTCATTTGGAGTACCAGAAATCGAATTCAATACGAATATAGGCCATGATGAACGGCATTTGAAGTGCAATTTTTAGACTCCCTTGCCGATGCATTCATCAAGCTGTTTGCTTCGCAAGTCTTAGGGGGCACGGCGGCTTATATTTGAATTCGATTTCGCCAGGTAGAAATCGTATGATTTCTCTTTTTGAAAATATACGACTTTAATATTCAACTTTTTGCTGGCGATAGTAAAAAAACGGATGGCCAGAATAACAAAATTTATTTTATTTCGTTTGGATAACGAACTCCAACTGTTTGCTTATTAATATTATTAATATTAATATTATTATAATTAATATTATTAATTGTTGAGCACTATTTATATAATTAAAATTTCGTATTTCTCAGAAATTTAGTACTTACGGTGAAGACAAAACTAATAAAAAGGTCTACAAATGGAACTAAACTATATACTTACATACCTGCTTTGAAATATGTACAGTTGTAACCATTTTCTTCCATGGGGTGCAACTTTTGACACCTCTTCAAAGGTAGAATTGGAATGGGAACTCAATATGAATATAGTTTCTAAATCTTGAGCAGCTGCAAATGATAAGAAGATTCGCATTAACAAATATCGACATAATTTCGAATAAGATGGACAAAAGCACTTTTACCTTTAGCAGTAGCAGGTTCCCCATCTTTATGGGCTAACTTATGATAAGCTGTAGGAGATATTCCTATGGGAAATGCCACAGGCTTACCCAAAATAGTTGTGGATAAATTTCTGTTGGTTACTGGTCGCATATATTTCGGTCTGATCCTGTATCTAAAATATATAGGTACATTATGTACAATGATGATCAAAATCTATACTTCCCGGGCTAGAATACGGGGGTTTCCATCATGTGTTCGACGGCTACACAACAATCCCTCGGCGGGCTCGGGTGAGGCACACACCCCAAGACCTGGGGGCCGCCCATTTGAATGCCTTTCCGCCCTTCGCCTCCCATCATGATCAAATAACCCCCAGCATCAACCCAAACAAACAAACTCACAAACGTACATAACTCCAAACCCAAACCTCCACACCCAATAATTTCCACCACCCACACCACCCTCAAACATCCACCCCACTCCAGTCCCCCAGAATAACCTCCACTAGGACTTCCCAATCCTCCATCAGCCCCTATTTTCACTCTCCCACCCACCTACCCCCTCAAAAAAAAGAACCCCACAAAAAATCAAGCCCCAAAAGTACTGCATCTCACCAAACCCTCCCCGAGTAAAACAAAATCACAAACCATAAACCCCCTCCGGGATAGAACAATTACCCTAGTTCACGCAACCCCTTCACACCTAGAGTTAACCTAAAAAACTCATTCAAGCCCTCACCCCCTACCAACCATACATGTCTTCTGAATCGAAATCTCCCACCTTAAGCACATATAAACCCCATTTATCAGTCCGCACACCGCCTCCCCACCCACACACCCTTCCCCAATACCCTGACCGCCCCAAACCCCCCCATCCTCCCCCGCTCTTCACACTCCAAACCAAACATGACACTCCTAAAAAAAACCGCACTGATAATAACCCCCCACCCTCTAACCACCACTTTAAACCCCAAATAAACCCCCAATAAAAACATTCCATCCCATACTCCCCAACCACCACCCCCCCAGCTCCTCAACACCGCTATTTCCCCACATCCTTCCATATTACCCCAAAACAACCCACAATCCCCCATCCCTCTCGCCACCAATAAATACAAAGTCATCTCACATACATCACCGACTAGTACCCGCCCCCGCACCGCCCCCGCTCCCGTCGCCTCCCCTCCCCCCCCCGCAGAAGCCATATGGCCCCCTATCCCCCTACCTTAATCACTCGGGGGGGGGGGAAAAACACAGCCGCCTATAACACCAACCTACCCGGATCCCCCCACCCTTCCCTGCGACTAATCTGCCAGGATATAAGAACTCCCTGTGGCGTGTATCACTCCACACAATTCATCCACTCCTCATTCTAACAACCCCACAACCGTTGCCCCCCCAACCGTCCTATCCACACGCAACACCATCCCACACTCCTAAACCATAAAAACCACCAATTAAAATTCCCCACCAACCTAACAACCTCCTGCGACAATCCCTGACCCACACTATATCAATAGCCCATTCCACTCGACCGTCCCCTTTCCACCACACCAACTACCTCTACCACCTCCCGCAACCCCCCACAACCAATCCCCCCCCAAAACCCCCAACCCCTCCAAATAAACAAATCTTCCCTCAAATACCCAAATTCCACCAGCACATACCCCCTCCCAAAATTCTTAATAAACATTCAACTTACCCCACGACTACCGCCTTCTCCGTCCACAACATAACAACCAGCCATACACCTCTCCTACTCACATTCTATCCCCCTATCAACTCCAACCACTCCCATTTCCACCCCAACCCTCCCGCACCCCTCCCCCACCCCCTCATGCAACAACGGTACCCAGGAGAACGCAAACATAAGCAGACTCCTAACCAACTTCCCCTCCTACCCCCCTGCACCCATGCCACCCCCATCCCCCCAACCACCCTGACCAAGACCAACTTCCTATTCCTTTTCCCCATCCCCATAACCGCCCACAAACCTGCTCCCTACCAACCCTCCCAACCCATCACCCAAACGCCCTTCAGCCCCTGATCACAAACTCCCACTTTCTTTTTATATAACTATATCCTTCCTCAAAAAAAACCATACCAATAAATACTACAACCACTAAAATCAACACAAACACAAATCCCCACTTTACCCCCCCCCCAACCATCACTCCCCCCCCCAACCCCCTACCAAACTAAAACCCACTACCCCTACCATTAACTCAACAACTCCGCCACACATTACTCACAGGCACCCCCCCCATCCCCCCGATACGAACCCCTCATAACACCCACTATTACTCTTAAAACCCCCACTCCTCCTATACATTTTCCCACCCAAAAAAATGCGCCATACATAACCCAATCCTACCACCGAAACCAAACCACATCCCCACCTCCCTAAAAAACCCAACCCCCTCATACACAACAAAACACCCACACATACCAAACCCGTTAAAAAAACCCCCATACAAAAAATTATTCGGCATTCCAAAGTACCGCTCCGCCACGTCTCAAAAACCCCACCGTAATCATCATTCCAAAAACCTAATACCTCCCCCTAGAATAAAAAAATCATCCTTTCCCAAACCCTTCAAAACCCCCACCCCACGGAGGCCCCCCATGGTACCCTCCTCCACCCCGACAAAAAAAAACAAACCCCCCCGCCTCTAAACGCCCAACAAATCTTAGCCACCTTTTACAGACAACACTGCCCCGTAGGATTTCACCCCCCCACGAAATATTTAACATAACCATCACCCTCTTACTCCCTCCCAATTGGTACCACACCAACCCCCCACCAACAACACGAAAAAAACCAGGCAACCCTACCCACCTAAACACCTTTCCACCCCATATCCCCACTCTAAACCCCCTACATCTTCCTATAATATAAACCCACCCCCTAAATACACCATCCCCAGCCAATACCCCACCGCCCCCAATAAACCCCTATTGAATTATCACCAACCAAACAACCCCCATCATAACAACTTACAATCTATCAAAACCCCAGCCTAAACGATAACCGATACTCTACTCACTAATAACATCCCATGCCCACGCAAAAAAACCCCTCGCCAAACCCCCCCCCTCACAAAAAAAAACCCCATACACTCACCATCCCCCAAAAAATACCCACCCACAACCCACCCCCACCCCCCAAAAACCAAAACACAAACCCCAAATCACACACCTCCACAGAACCTGACGCCAAACAGTTCACGACAACAAACTAACCAAAATGTGCAGTAAACATCCCGCACTAAGTGTTCCTATAAATTTTCCAACGAAATTACTTGCCGACTATAGAGTGCTAAACAAAATTTTAAATTCAAGAAAAGAAAAATAGAATGCTACAAAATACCGCCACCTCCGTAAAGATATTTATGTGGTTTTCATTGAAGATGAAAGACTTTCTATAGCGCATAGCATGAAACTCTTTTGAGCATATTAAGAACCAAAAGCATTAATATTAGAGAAAACTTATATTTGAAGCAGAAAATAGTTGTACGAGTCGAGAGGATTCAAAGTGGCATCAGACAATGGTGCATTCCATCTGCGCTATTATTTAATATCTACTCAAATATACTTTTGAAACAGGCACTGTTATCTTATGCGATAATTTCCAAGGCCTTCAAGAGTTATTATTCGTCTGTAACCACAACTTAAACCTAAAATTTCGTCAAAGAATAATTAGATGTGGTTACATAGAAGAATGTTCCGAATACTCTGGAAAGCAATGCAGACCAACGAACCTGTGTTAAATAGAGCAAATGCCGTTCGTGAGTTATTAAAAACTCTTAAGATAAGCCTAGGATATGTTCTTTGAGGGGATTGGTACAGAATCCTGAATATAAAAGGTAAAATCCAGGGCCGAGAGGAATTGCAAGGAAGCAGATTTCATAGACCAATAACATTCGCGATTGGGCAAACGCAGTGCCAAACAACTATTCCAAGAAAAAGTACATTGCCTTCACAAATATTCTCACCATACTGAACAATAAATAGCAAAATGAATTTAAATGTAGCAAACAAGAATTCACAAAACGAATAAAGGAAAATATACCAAAGTATGAAATAATTCATAACGTAAGCAATAGAGTAACGCTTCCATTATTTTTATTTTAACGAAAGTATCAATCTAGTTAGATTTCTTACTTGTTAAAACCTGTTTTGTTCCATTCTAAAGTCTTCCCTTGCCCTGCTCCATCAAAAAAGTAATCAAAATACATATTTGGCAAATGCTTTCTGGCGTAATCTTCATAATCGTTAACACAGGCAAAATTTGTTACAGATTTAGACATTATTATTATATGTAAAGTAACACAAAATCATTAACCAAAGTATCAAAATCTATAATAATTATTTCTAGGATTATATAGTGAAGAAATATTTATTTATTTAGATTTTTTGTGCTAATTAGTGCTTTATAGATAATGCGGATCTTGTATTTTAAAAACCTATATTTTATCAAGTTCTAGATATCTTTATTATAAAATTATACATGATTTCTTTTACTTTCAATTCATTTACAATTTCAGAAGAAAACTAACAGGATGCACTTTTACGCCTAGTTAGAAATTTGTAAAAGTCAAAAGCTCAACAGCTTCGTAAACTGTAGTGGACTTAATAGGCAACAATTATTCGGTTACAGATTACAGACTTTGCAGTACACATAATATCTGAAGGAATACGCGATGCCGCGGATCTTCGAAACCAGATATAACTCATACTTTTGGGCGACAATAATAGTACAAGAGCCCACTGGATCACTACGTTCGTAACGTATTTCTTCAAACTCACATTTTTACATACATTTAAAATTAGGAGAATACATTTATAATAGGTTACCAGTCAAAAAAGCGGGTAGCGGGTAGGAACTTCTTTGGATAGGCTTACGCAGTTTTAAAATTACTGTATCAAACCCGTAATTTATCTATTAAGTAGGGCCACAAAGTCATTATTATGTAATGCTATGGTATTATCAAAATTAAATTATTGTGACGTGCTTTACAATGCGTGTCTCACTGAATTTGATTCATGGAGAATATAGAAATTGCAAAATTCTTGTTTGCGTTTGATGTTTGGCATCAGGAAATTTCAAAGGATAAGTCATGTTTTCACCGTAGTCAAGTTTCTAAATATGAAAAATCGTCGGAAACTTCATGCTTTATGTTTTTACCATAAAATCATTCAGGAGAGAGTTCCACCATATCTGTACAATCGAATAACTTATAGGGTAGACGTTCATAATCTTAATCTTAGACACAAGAATACCCTCACTTTACCTAAACATACAACATGCTTTTTTAAACGTTCATTTTCGTATTCCATTGCTAGCAATATTAACAGTTTTTCCTACAATATTAAAAATTTGTTCATTGTCAAGTTCAAGAGATTAATTTATGAGCACCTCTTAGCTGAACAGTAATTTAAAAATTTCAGAACTAAAAAAAAAAGAATAAATAGTTTATAAATTTAATATGTAATACTTTATGTTCATTATAAAATACAATAATTTCATTATTTAGATATAGTCTATCTATTCTTTCTTCGGGGGTTAGGTGGAAGAGCAGTTGTATGCCGCTGTTACACAGTGGTATACAAACTGAATCTCGCCCTACTGTCAGCTGTAGAAAATGTCACACTGAGAGTGAAGTACGGGTAAGATACGGCAATGCTTTTCTTATGGAGAATAAACGAGCAGGGTTGTCGGTTTTCTCCAGCTGTTGATTGCTCATTGTCTCACAGGACCGGTTTGGATAAAATGCATCTGCCGGCAGTACGAGTAAAATATTTTATATTATGTATACGTATACAGTAGAAAAAAAAGGCATTAATGAGTTATTGACAACGAAAACTATGAATTAGGCATATAAAACGTCAACATGAGACATACAATTGAATCATATTCATAAGAGTAACATTTGAACACCTCTTTACAAGAACAACATACAATAACTATAGTTTTAATGTTTTACATAAAATAGAAAAAAACTACATAATTTCTAGGAAAGAATTTGGAAACTTGGAAATGATATTAATTATAGATATTATGTATAATATTCAAATTTCCAATTCTTTCATAAAAATTAGATTTTTTCTATTGTATGTAAAATATTAAAAATACAGTTATGTTGTTTCTATAAATAGATCTTCATTTCTTTTGTAAAACTTCTGCAACAAATTACCATCATCAACATAATCACCTAAATACGGCCATAAACTTGTTTGTCATAATTAGTATTTGATAAACTCCAAGTTTCCCTATTTCACTCCCTACCCATCCTTAAGATTGTAAAACGAAACGACACTTCAAAATTTAGTCCGAGTTTCAACTCGTAGTGTTAAATGTGTCGTGTTTTTCACAAAATACGGAACAACTTAATATAAGCGCTGCTGTAAGACGTACTTCGTTGATGACTGGTGTTAGCGAAAGAAGTATTTACAATTTCAAAAAAGAAAAAGAATAGAGTGGAACTATTGAAATCGTCAAAAAACGTAAAAAACGAGTGTGTCAATCAAATTCTTGAATATTCACATATGACGAGGGTGTAAGAAGTATTCTACGGAGAATTGTTACATTGTGAATTTTTCATGAAAAATTTGCCGCCATTCTTAAAGCATATACATAACTTCATACAAGGTAATGAGAATATACAGCCGTTGTCTCTTTCTCACTTTTTACAGACTTCTGAAAGATATTGGATTTGTTTATAACAAACGTGGCCGAAGAAGCATCATGGTGGAGTGAGAGGATATTATTCATTGGCGCCATAATTATTTGAGAACTATACGACGTTTGCGAAAAGACCATTGCAATATCATATATTTGGACGAATCGTGGGTTAATGTTGGCCAATCTATAAATTACGAATGGTCCGATACTACGATACAAAACAGTCGTGATGCTTTTCTCAACGGTTTAAGTACTAGCTTAAAAGCACCTACTAAACGAGGCCCACGATATGTTTTATTGCATGCAGGTTTTTCAGGAGGTTTCCTTCCTGGCACACAGCGTGTTTCTATGACAAAGAAAAATGATGGCGACTATCACGATGAAATGGATGCCGCATATTTTGAGTCGTGGTTTAAGGAGACATTAATATCAAATTTATCAGAATATCTGGAATAAAGCTGCAATCAAAGAATGGCTAGTGAAAAAAGACATTTTTTTCAAGGAGTGTTATTTGAAATCCAAGCTATTAGAAGCAGCGCGTGCTTTTAAAGATCAATACGATAAGTATCATCTTGATGAGTATGCTTCACAACATAATGTTTATATTTTAAGGCTTCCTCCATATCACTGCGAAATGAATCCTATAGAAATGGTGTGGAACCAAGTTAAGCGATATGTAGGTACCCATAATACCACTTTTAAAAACGACGAGGTACGCCAGTTGATCGACGACGGTTTCGCACGCGTCACAAAGCAAAATTGGCGCAATTATGTCACTCATGTTGTTGAGAAAACGGAAACTGAGATGTGGACTGCGGACAACCTGCAATATGACGTAGACCAATTAATAATACACGCGAACACAGGGAGAGTAGCGAAAGCGAATCCGACATCTCGGATGTAGAGGACGACTTTAGTATAATTAATTGAATATCTGTGAGTAACCTCGATTATTTTACACTGTATAACCAATAAAATGCATTTACCAGTCCAATTAGAGTATGGGCTTTTCGGATATTGGGCTGGGTGCACGGAAATCGAGTTCCCGGAGGTTCCACCCTGTATATTTATAGCTATCAAGAAATGTAATTTAAAATATATTTGTTAGTTTAATAAAGTATAAATATATTATAATGTTAAATAACTTACACTATAAACCTTCCACCTGCTCATCTGGTCAAGTGTGGGCAAGGAAAACCATTAACCTCTAGGTTGCTATGCCAAGGAACTAGGTAAACTTATGTTGTGTGCAAAAAATGCGAGACTGCATTATGTTTTAACAAGGACAAAAACTGCACTTCAGATTTCCACAAAAAAAAATTTCATAGTAGGTGTTACAATTTCGCAGTGATTCAATTGCGCAATAACATCGCCGGGATTAAAAAATGTGCAAAAGCTTTTTCGATATTCCCGTTCCTGATAATTTTTCACATATTTACAAAAGAAAACGTTTTTCTTGGATATTGGGCTGGGTGCACGGAAATCGAGTTACCGGAGGTTCCACCTGGTAGTATTTATAGCTATTAAGAAATGTAATTTAAAATACATTTCTTAGTTTAATAAAGTATACAGTTTTATAATAAAATTCTCGCTAAAAACTTAAGGTCTTTTTATTCAAATTTATGCCTCTTATTTGGCTACTTGAAGGCAATTATTTTATCAATATATTATTTTATAATAAATAACAGAGCCCGGCGTAGAGATCTGAGTACGGTTCTGCGACTATCACTTGGACCTGTTTGTATCGCCAAGCACAAGGCGTGAAATCCGGCAATTGTGCATTCCTATATTAGCCGTACTGCACTCTCGGTGTGACATTTTCTATATATTTCTATTTCTATATATAGCAACGGGGTTTTTACCTCAATGTATCGTTAAATCATCGGCAGAACATCGTCTGCCCAAACAGATTATAGATTGGTCACCACATGGAAAGAGAAAAAGAGGCCGACCCAGAAAGAGCTGAAGAGAAGGAATAGACAGAGAGATCCGAGAGAGAGGTTTAGACGAAGATCTTTGGGAAGATAGAGATGCATGGAGATTGGGCATCGGAAGACGTCGGAGGACGTTTTAAAACCGATTATATATATAAATATATATATATATATATAATATATATATATATATATATATATATATATATATATATATATATATCGTTAAATGTCTTTCTTCGTTATTCCTTTTAATAATCGCAATATCGACATGGTTTAGAATATATACCGGGTGAAACGAAATATCACCATCATCAGTAGTATTTCTAATCAATTTTTTTTTTAATAATCAGGTTTAGTAAATACGGTGGCTCTAGTCAGCCGGCACAGTAAATTTCTCTTTGTACTTTTGCTTTTGTTTCTAATACTATTCAAAAAGATTTTTTTTACTGTTGTATTTTTACATAACTGCTTTAGAGCTCATGCCATAATTTTTATTTAAAATAAATCGTTTTATCAAACCTAGAACCAAATAATGCACCATTATATTATACAATAAATATTTTGATTTGTTTTCTCTTGAAATATGTTATCTTTTAATAATAAGTAAGTAACCCTTGATTTGTGTGTGTAAACACTTAAAAACCGGTATGAATGGAATGATAAGGAATGTCAGGTGTTAATGAAATAA